GAAGTATTAATAACCAAGAACCATCTCTTTTTCGTACGATAGACATTTTTAGTTGTGAAGAGACTAGAGAAGTTTTTTTTTTTTACAAACTTTAAGCCAACTTATTTTCATGAAAAGCAACTCATATATGAATATTTGTTTATATATACCTCGCAGCAGAGGAAAATATTCGTGCAAGTCAATACTTCTAACTTTTTGATGGTTTTGACAAATTGCATGTAATGTCACAGGATTTGTTGTTACTACAAATAATGAACCATCACCAAGGCCTACTATATCGAGAGTTTCACCGTGCGTTAATATCCGGAAAGTGTATATTTGTTCCGTGAAAGTATGGATGCGACCTTTATTTATACATAATTATTATTATGGTAAAATGAAATAATATAGTATGATGTTATCATAAATTTAATATCTTGCCTTCAGTTCGGTCCAATTCCTTAGCTTCGCTTATATGAATTTCCCATAAGCCCTAAAAAATAATTATGTTCTTAAGAATCTAACAACATCGCAGATATCATAATACGTTAAATTCATTCACTTACTCTAAATTTCATTGCAAATTTTCTCACTTCACATATTTTCCTTTCTAAATTTGATTTTGTCCAAACTTCAGTAATTATCGGGCCAGTCAATGGAACGTTTCTTCCCAACCTAATTGTATAATCAGACTCCAATCCAACTGGGAATCCATGCTTCTGAAAAACTGCTATCAAAAGATCTTTAGAAGCCTTATCATATTGATCAAAGTCAAAAACATTTTGTAAAATATATGAAACACCCTCATTTGGGTATTGCTACATAATATGAGTCCATTTGAGAATAATGTTACTAATTTTGACGGATACAAATAATCTAATATAAGCATATTGCTATATAGATTGTTATATTAGGATCAGGTTACTATGATAACCTACTTGCATGTGTTTAACAATATTCACCAACTCTCTCGTAGAATAAGGATAAGAAATTAACCCTTCATCTACGAGTTTTCTCAGATCACTAAATGCAGCTGTAAGTTTTAATAAAAGATCATTTGGGACGGAAGGGGCATAGTTGCGTAACAGAAACATTTCAGAGTCCGGATCAGAATTATCAATTGTGTGACTTTAAAAAAAAGAAAGAAAATTATGATGTTAATATAAAAAGGTGTTAATATAGAAACGACAGTGAACATGATCGAAGAAAAAATAACGATTTGTTACCAACTGAAAACATCACCAATTTCTCTATAAAAATCATTCCCTAGTATATAGAGATATACATTATGTCATGATAAGTTAATATGATATCATTAAGAGTTTTTAACTAACCAAGAAATGGGAATCCTGAAAAATAATTATTTAGTTTATAAATGGTTAATTAATATTTGAACATAATGAAATAACAAACATCCTTAAAGTCTTGTAATTCCTACCGGGTCTATTTGCCAAAACAATCATTCTAAAATTCTTATGGATTACGATGCATTCTTCTTTAGAATGTTTTGACGCAAGAGTTGAGACTATTCTCCGTCCATCTCCTAAAACCATCTGGCCATCTTCAAGAAGATTCCTGAGTATTGCTGTAACGTATGTAGGAGCTTTATCTGCTTCATCCACAACTAATACATGGCCTAAAATATTTATAATTATAACCTCATGTAGATTTAAAAAAATATTTGATGCAAATCCCTATGAAGAAAACAAGACAACATACCATTTTTTACAGCTTTGACTAAAATAAAATAATGCAATTTTAGTAATTACATATATATATTAAATCTTGCAAATTATTCCTATACAATATTTAAATAAATTACCTAGAGGTGAATCTTCAAATTGCAAGACACCATTAATGATTGTAGGTATGGCGGTTAAACTTTGCACGGTTGTATCACTAGAATAGTATTTAAAAGAACAGTTAAAATGTCTAAATTCTCAATTATAAAATTTTTGTATAGGACATATTAATTGTTAAAAACAACCGTGCACACACCGGTGTAGTTGTATATATTCCCTTGGTAACTTCAGCAATTGTAAAAAGTAATCAGCCAGTTTATTTTTTCCCACACCTTGATTTCCAATCAGTAATAAATGTTCACCTGAATAATCCGAAAAATTGACAAGATATATTAAAAATGAAAGTTAAATTGCAATAGTAAAATAAAGGATCATTAAAATACCCAATTGATAATCTTGTAACATTTGCATTAGTATCTCTGTCTGCTTTGGATTTTCGTGAAAAACCACGTCAGGAACTAATAGAGGGTTTGAATCTTTTGCTATAAGCTGTTCCACTTCTCCGATACGAAGAATTTTGGGGTCGTCTCGTGACGGTAGAATTTCAATTTTCAACTGAAAAAAATTATTTTAAAATATGATTTACATCAAACGGAGCATTAAAACTTTCTTACCTTTTCAATATCAACGGGTTCTGTGGGTGGTAAAATGACACTATTTATCATCAATTCTTCTAGCGCTGTTCTGACCAAAGACGGCAAGAACCGGGAGAGTGTAGCTTTTTGAATTGCTAGATAAAGACTCTCGTTAGGAAACAGCGTAAGACGGCGACAAATTCGGATAAGTTGCCTATTGAAAATATTATTTTCATTATCAGGTTATTAGATATCTATATATTGAAAAATTCCAATTGCCATTAAAATTTATATAGTCAAATTTAAGCTCAAGTAAATTTGCTAAAATAAATTTTGATAACTAAAAAATTTGTCAACTCCAATATTGATGCAAACATGAGATCACAATTTTTTTGAAAAAAATTTGTACGGCTTTTATATCAAAAATATACAAGGCATATAAAATTTTTTCAATCTTCTGAACAAAGCCCATTCAGGGATTGTTATAAGCCACATATAAACTTTTCAGAAGGTTTATAAAATTGGTAATTCCGAAGAATTTTACTAAAACGCACCTATGGTGTTTTACACCTATGTATACATTATCTCAAAAACTGGCTAATTAATCGAT